AGATAGAAGTAGCATGAAGGCTGACACGAAGTTTCAAACAATAACAGCCTTAGCAATCAAACTTTTTTCCTCCAGACCCACAGTTTGTATATATGACGATGACCCTTCTGAATTTACTGCACCATAATTACTCACCGTAGGTTGTGGTACTAGGCAAATACTCGCTCCGAGGCCTTCTGTCCTTATGAAGGTGTTTTATAAACGGGCAACACCTAGCCTATTATATGCTCTTCGGGAACCCAATGCTTGCAGATAATTGATACCATCATTTCGTCAGAGAGAGCAAAACAGTCAGAATTCCACAATAACCGGCAACCCTGGTTGCATACATATGTACAATGTGCTGTCTTTATGCGAGAGCTATCTAGGTACTTGAAGTACCGATGTTTCTAGAACAAAATGATTAAAAGAAACGTCAATTGGAAGTCAATTCTCTGATGCCTGCTTCAACACTGGCAGATTTCTAAACCCTAGTTTATTTTTGCTCTCATTTTAATCATCTGCAGAAAGTGGACAGTTCGAAAAACTTGACATTACACCTTACTCAAATCCACCTGATTTACCGGAGGTGATGAGATGCCAAGAGAATCTACCGCCTCAAAGTGCTCCCGAAGTGGGCGCTGGTGTTAAACAGTAAGGTGTGTGTGTGAGGGTTGCCAGCTGTGCTACGCCTTTCAGCCTACCGGACTATTCGACGAATTCTTCTTCATTTCACCTGTTCACACGCATTATCACATTCAGCGATCTCTTTCGCCACCACCATCACTATCACCGCTGTCTCCACCGCTCCGCAGAACTTGTCATTTCTTCTTCCTCCTCCTCCTCCCCTACAGGCATTCAAACATACACGCACATCTGTACCTTCCGGTTCTTACTCGTTGTTTTTACCTCTCTCTCAGCCCTTTTTTCTTCACTTGCGACTTCCTGCTCTCTTGCCTCTCTACCTCCTCCTCCTCTTCTCACTTTATCCTGCTAATTTGTCCACTTCTCCCCGACTGTTCTTACGAAGCTGTGTTATCGCTTCCTTTATTGATAATAATTTATCTCCTTCTGTCTCCTTCCATCTCTCTGTGCGCGTGCGCCTAGTATTCTGCATAAAGGGGAAGAGGTGGCGGTCTCACTGACCAGAAACTCATTGCTTTTGTTTAATCTCCTATCGGTGTCCGCCAAGCCTCCAACTTCTTGGAGATCTTGATTTTCGGTTTTTGTAGTCACCACAACAGATCACCTGGAACATTGGCGTCGTCCAATCGAGGCAACAAGGCTGCATCGAGGTGCTGGTGGTTACAACGGTTAGCTCTATGTTGGGGGTTTTAACAATACACCATAGCGTCGACGCATGTATTAGCCCGTATTGTGTATCCTTCAACTCCAAGTTATACTACTAGTTGCTTCTTGACAGTTTAATTAATAGTATTGCCGACAAAAACAAGGGAGACTGTAGTGCCCATTTCTGGCTTATTAGTAGTCTTCAACCATTTATACCCAGACCCAAAGGGAGCCCCACCCGATTGTCGAACTCGCGACCTTTTTGATCGGAGTCAAATGCGTTAACTATTGAGCCACAAGCTCGTTGTCTTGCCAGTTTAGGTCAGGGGACATTGGTAAGTGAACATTCATCAATGAGTGTATTGCATGTTGATGTATGGACGCTCACCGATAGGCTGCTGGACCCGCGTCTAGTAGTATAGGCAGGAGAACATTTCCGACACTACATGATTAGAACGCTGGACTTTAATCGACAGGTAGCGAGTTCGGGCCGTGAGGCTGATTACGACTAATAAGCCGGAAGTCTTCTTTCTAGCCTCCCTTATCTTTTTCTGTAATAATCTCCTGTAGTTTACTGGCTATGACGCTGGCATCTCGGTGTAGCTGATGGAATAAACGGGAAGAGG